CTACAACATGACGAAAGTACTGTAAATACCGACTAAAACGAACATGCTGTTAAGAGGGTTAGTAGCAGAGGTGGTTGGTAGGGGGGGGCGCCTACTACTACTACTACTACTACTACTACTACTACTAACGACAACGATACCAACGACAACAACAAAAACGATAAGAAGGTAGTGGACGTGCTGGCCGCCACGAAGGGTGTGTCATTCGCGTTTGTACGGCTGTTCCAGAAAATGCAAAAGCCTTGGGTTTTCCTTCTTTCGTATGTAAACAGACGATGCTGTGCAGAATTGATTGTTCATGTTTTTGGTCCTTTTTGTGTGTGGCTGAGGAAGTGTCGCAAATACCATGGTTATCGTCGTTCTTGGTGTTTGGTTCCATTTGGTGTTGATTTGTTGTGCAAGGCCCGTGAGGATCCAGATCGTCACCCATAAAACCGCAGAAAGCCTTAACCCTCAACCCTATAGTACCCTGAGATACTAAAGTCTACGAAATCTAAGAAAGCTTAACCTGAACCTAATACGACCCTGAAAGTAGCACTTCAAAAAGCCAAGAAAGCGCTAAAAATTACGTGAACAGACAAAACCCTAAGCCCTAAACCCCTTAACCCCGGGAAAAACCTAACCCTTTGCCTTTGGCCCAGGGAGTTGTCAGATGAAGACCTACTCGGCCTTTGCAACTTGGCTTCGGGTTCAAGCTTAAAGGCTACTTCCTTTACGCATCCCTTTAAGTGTTGCTTTAAGGATTGTCTCAAGGGTAGTTGAGGGTTTAGGGCTGTGGTTTTGGGCCTTGAGCTGTAGGGTTTTTGGATGTTTGTGGCCGACGTTATTCGGGTGCGTGTTGCAGGGTTTATAGTAGAGTTTTTTGGTTTCGGGGATGGGTTGGAATCAGGCTGTGGCCAAGACTTAAGATACTTACTTGTTAGAGAACTGGAATTTTAGTTATGGTTTTCAAAATTCGGGCTTTTGAGTTTAGGATTGATGGCCTTACAGGGTTTGGGCTTCACGATTTGAAGAAGCAAAGCAAGTTAGAAGGATGATTTTTGTGACGGCTTCTTGCTTCAGTTAGACTTGTGCTTGTCGAGCTTTCGGGTTTAGTTTCAGGGTGGTGTGGTTGAGGAAGTTTAGGGCCTTTCGGTTGTGCGGTTTGCAAGTGTCGGTTTCGGGAGTTTGTCTTCTAAGGATTCGTGATACGTACATTTGCGAAACCCAGAGCTGCAAGCCTCAAACCCTAAGCCCTATAAGACCCTTATGAAAACCCTTAATAATGCCTTCACAGGAATCTGTAACGGAACCCCAAAACCGACCAAGGTGAGACCTACGCCAAGAACTACGCCTTGCAACTTGGCTGCTGCTTCAGAAACCCTAAACCTTAAACCCTAAACCCTAAACCCCAAACCTTAAACCCTAAACCTAAACCTTAAACCCTAAACCCGAAACCTTAAACCCTAAACCCTCCCCAAACCGGCCTTTAAAAAAAAAACTAAACCCTAAACCCGAAACCTTAAACCCTAAACCCTTCCCAAACCGGCCTTCAAAAAAAAAAAACCTAAACCCTCATGTGTTCTCAAGGGGAAGGGCCCGGCTCAGCGCAGCTTTAGGGTTCAGTCTCAGGCTGTAGGGGCGTAGGATGGTGTA